AGGCACTGACAGGTGTCCAGAAGCACCTTTGCCTAAGGCGGCCCTGCTGCTTCCAGCCTGTTCCCCAAGCCCCGCGAGGGCGCGTGGATACATCCCAGTCCACCAGCAGCACACACGCTGTTCCAGCTGCACTCAGCACTCAGCACCTGGCAGCTCTGCCCCCTCAGAACACAGGGACCCCTAAAATTCCAACCATTGCTCACACCACTCAAAAGGAACACAATGGGGAAAGGCAGCAGCCGCGCAGTCACAGCACAGGGAGGGCATATGCACCCCCTAATCCCCACAGCCAGGGTAGGTCCCCAAACAGCCCAGGGGTTCATGGTACACCCACAAAACAGCTACGCCATCATGCACTCAAGCTACTTTCCAGAGACGCTATGAGAACCAGACTAGGCAACAACACAGGACAAGGAAACAAACAATTAACCCAGAGTCAGAAGCAGACCGTCAATGACAACAGGAAACAGGAAACAAACTGGCCTGTGTCGCCCCAGAAGTGCCCTTAGCCTCACCTGCCCCATCACAGCATCTGGCTACGTCCTAGCCAAAAAGCGACTTTCAAGGGCCAGGGACATGGTGTAGTGGTGAAGCACTTCCCTGGCGTGTATGAGGTCCCTGGCACATAAATCATGAAAAAGAGAAGGCTTCAAAGTCTCTTATAAAGAACCTGTGAGGGGACCTTCACCTGCTTCCCATCTGACCATGATCAACTGAAGCAGGCCACCAGAGGCAAAGAACCTGGAACCTTCTTCACACTGAGGTTTCCAGTCCGCCTAACACCTAATTACCTAAGGGAGAAAAATGCTGAGGGGTGAGAGAGAGAGAGTGAGAGAGAGAGAGAGAGAGAGAGAGAGAGAGAGAGAGAAAGAGAGAGAAAGAAAGAGAACTGGGATTAAGGTGCTTATCTTAAAACTGGTTAATCTTAACCCTGACTAATCTGAACTCTACTTAATCTCTGGCACTGTACAGTCCCCTGAGCATCACTGAATTAACCCTCCCTAAAAATATTTTTATAATGATGGGAAAAAGGGCTGGGAGGAGTATGTCTCTAAGGAGCTGGAGAGAGTGTTTGCATGTAGGAGGCCCCGGTTCAACTCCCGGGGCCCATGGTCCCCCAAGGACTGCCAGGAGTGTTCGTTCCTTAAGCACCAATGGGTGTAACTCCTCCCTCAAAAAAACAAGGTGGGGCTGAAGTGATAGTACAGCGGGTAGGGAGTTGCCCTGCTCATGACCAACTTAGGTTCCATCCCCAGCACTCCATAAGGTCCTCTGAGTCCGCCAGGAGTGACCCCCGAGTGCAGAGCCAGGATAAACGCTGACCACAACCAGGTATGGCCCAAAAAACAAAAAAGAAAAAAAAAAGGTTGGGAATAGAAACAAGGAGATGCCCAGCTTTTCTGAGACAACACTTACAGTATGGCAATCAAATTAAGACACGGGCCTGTGCCAGCTACAGCCACTCACATCTAAAATGCTGAAAGCAGTTGAAGGAATCCAGATCTGTTTCAACACAACCTCTGAAAAGTTACTCTCTTCTCTCACCAACTCAGCTGTTATCTATGATAAGGACTATCGAGAAAACAACCCACTCTCCTCTCTACAAGTCTAAGTAATGCCCATTTTTTAGCAATTTGAGACTTCAGCACTATTTTTACATTGCTCGTTTGATGATGACTTTTTTTTTTCCTTTTTGGGTCACACCCAGCAAGGCACAAGGTTACTCCTGGCTCATAACACAGGAGTTAGCTCCTGGTGGTGCTCGGGGGACCATATGGGATGCTGGGAATCGAACCTGGGTTGGACGCGTGCAAGGCAAATGCCCTACCCTCTGTACTACAGCTCCAGCCCCTGATGATGTCTTAAAGCCACTCTGGGGTCAGAGATAATACAGTGAGTAAGGCCTTTTCCTTGCACGCGGCCCACCCCTGGCTCAATCCCAACACCATCTAGCCCATCAAGCACTGCTGAGTGTGAACCCCAGCACAGGGCTGGAGCTGCCTCTGGGCACTGCCAAGTGTGGTCCAGAATCCCCTCTTCCCCACCACCACAGAAAAACGTTTTTAAACAAAAAGGCCATCATTAGTCACACTAGTTTTAGCACCTTAAATGTAGATACTCTCATCAGATGGTGGAAAGAGAATACAATACAGAGGCCTTGAAGCCCTCCAACAGCCTAAACTTTCAACCCGCGAATGCAATAGGTGGGGATAAAAGTGAAAGATGCCACAGCCTACCATAATCCAAATTTCAAATGACAGAGTGTAGGGTACTAGCCCACCATGGGCAGAGAGGAGGACTGGAGCCCCGTCTGCATGTGACCACACAGCACTCCCATGCAAGGGTGTTAATACATCACAGGAAGCAGAGCCTGACTCCAGCACTGCCCCTTGGCTAGGCATTCCCCCTCACAAGGGACAGTCCTTAGGCCACACTGAGTCTTCAGAATGCTCAAAAACACACTCTGGTTGGCACGAAGGTCACTGGTGGGGTTGGCAAACTTCCCGCCCCAGACCTCAGGCCTATGGAGGAGAGTCTTTCCAAGGCAGCTGCAATCACGTTATTTCACAATTAAACACCTGCTCTGTCACAATCCCTGGGGAGGGGGGGAAAGAGAATGGAAAAAGGAAAAAAATAAGTGAAAGATTTCCCCTTCGATGTCCTGTGTTGACTCGGTACACCATGCAAGAGGGAGCATCCTTAATGTGGGCTTTAATGAGGACCTTCCTAAAGCTGGTCCAACTGGTGTTCAAGTCACTGGACTGAAAAACAAGTTTATAAGCAGCAAGGTCACCTGATTCTGACCATGTGCACGCTGTTTACCCTGAGATGATAGGCCAGTGGCCGCCACAGCTTCCATGAATGCCACGAAGACTCCACTCTCCCTTTGAAGTCGATGGGGCCTGGGCATGACTAAATGCCATAAAAAAGGAACCCTGAATGCGGCAAGAATGCGAAAGGAGGAAAGTCACGCTGCAGGACTCGGGGAAAACCCCACTCTGGACCAGCGTGATGTGTTCACGGAAACTTGTTTCCCTGCCGTGTGATGACCACATTAAATCATCACTAGAGAAGCCCCATCCTCTGCTTCCCCCCCCCACCCCAGGACTGGCACCCAGGGCACTGCTCAGACCAACTGTGCCCATAGGCAGGTAAAAGGACCATGTGCTCTTCCAGCCACCACAGCCAAGACCCATGTGGCCCAGAAGCTCCAAACAGCCACAAGTCCTGGTCGGAAGGCCTCGAACTCTCATCGCGGGGAACAGCTCAGTGTTGGCGTAAAGAAGGTGGCAAGGAAGGGCTTACCCATCTCTTCCTTTGCTGACAATCTTCACCTCAAAGTAATAAATGCCACAGGCTGCAGGGATGGGGTGGGTGGCACGCACCGAGGCTGCATCTTTGTGATTTTTGCCATGACCTAGTAATGAGAGGACAAGGAAGAAATGTCAGCAGCAGCAAATGACAACAGAAGCCCCCCTCCCCCCTTGTCGGTCTTCTCAGTGGCCCAAAGAAGGCCTTCCATCTTCCAAGGGAAGAAAAACACAAACAGACAAACACCTCGGGCGGCTCCCGAGCACAGCTGCCCTGCCCGACACACACCGTCTCCCAGGACAAACCCAACGGGGGGTGCAAGAACTGTGGGTACGTGTGCGAGATTCCGGCGAGCTGCCAGCATTCTAGCCGGAACATTCCGGCCCACCGGAACTCGAGGCAGGAGAAGGCAGTCCTAAGGGACAACCCCCACCACCACCCCAACGTAGCCCAGGACCGCAGGGCCCATCTGGGGTGTCGGGCAGACGCCCAAGCCCATGAGTCTTCTGCGAGCTGAGGGTCTGCGAGGACCCTCGCTCCAGCCACTCTCGGGACTGAGCAGGGCCCCCCGCTGGGCTTGCAAGATCCCAGCTGGGGCTCCCGGGGGCCAAGCAGGAAAGCCCGGGGCTGGAAGGTCCGGTCCGGTCAGGTCCAGCCCCGGCCCTGGACACCTGCGGCACTTCTCCAGTCATCGGTGCCTCGGGACCGAGCGGACCGGGCAGTCTGTCCGGGCCTGGTCACCCCGAAGGCTCAGGCCTAGCCCGGCGCGCCGGGGCCGAGGAAGGGGCAGGACGGGGCGGGGGCGCCGCCCCTCCGCACAGCCGCCCCGCCGCGTCGGCCTCCCCCCTCGGCGGCCCCGGGCCCGCACCTTTGTAGTGGACGCGGAGGTTGCCCTGGGAGAGGCCGATGTAGTTGTACTTGTCCTTGGGGCTCCAGGAGCGCGGCAGCGGCGTCTCATGCTGGTTGACGGCGGGGTAGAGGCGCTGCAGGCGCCGGCTCAGCTCCTGCTCGCCCGCGGCCGGCAGCGCGGCCCCCGCGCCCCCCGCCGCCGCGTCGGCAGCCTGCGGGCTCCCGGCCCCCGACTCCGCCGCCGCCGCCATCTTGGACGAGCTGCTATTGTGTCACTGGGGGCGGGCGCGGCGGGCCCAGATCCGCCCGCGCAGCCAATGGGCCGCAGGGAAAGCGAGTCCCGGGCCGGCGCCGCCCGCCGCGCCGAGGCCGCCCGCCGGACTTCACCTCCCACCAGGCGGAGCCGTCGCGGGGGGCGGGCCGGCCGGGGCCCGCGCGGGGGCCGGGGAGATGTAGTGCCGAGCCGCCCGGGCCTCAGCCCGCCCCGGCCGGGGCTGCGCGGCGCCGCGGACTACAGTTCCCGCGAGCCATGCTGCTCCGGCCTCCGCCGTCCCCGCCCCCCCCCCCCAGCCGAGGGCTGCTGCGGGACCCCGCCGCCTCGGTTCGGGGGCTCAGGGGCGGATCGGCGGCGGTGACTGACTCTGAGGGGACCCTACCCTCTCCCCCTACCCCCCCGGAGCCGGGCGCACCCGCGCGACCCCGGGCTTCAGAGCGGCCCGGGAGCGCGCGCGCGGCGCCCGGGGGCGTGGCCGGGACGGGGGCGTGGCCACTGCCGGCCCCGCCCCGCGCTGGGCTGCCGGGGCCCGTCGCCATGGCGACAGACTGTACACTAAGGCGGCTTCCCTGGCTCCGGGTGCTGCTGGCCGCCCGGCGGCTCCCCCGAGGGTCATGGCTGCCCAGGCTCCGCGAGAGCCCAGCCTGGCGACCACGTCGAGGTAGGCGCTGGCCGGGTTGAGGGGCAGAGAGAAGTTGCTTGAGCAGTTCCAAAAACAGGAATGGTCCCAGATCTTCTGACCTTCCTCTGCACTTCCTCTAACCCGAGCATCTGGGACTGCAAGCCAGCGACCCGAGCCGAGCTGACTTGTGAACGAGCTTACATACTAGCAAAGGGGCAGGATCGTATGATGCAAACCTGGGTCTGCAGTGTGCAAGGCAAGCAGCTTATCCGCGGTACTATCTCTCAGGCCCCAGGAGCTTGTGTTTTACACGTTTGCAAGCAGTGGAGCGAGGATTTGAACCCAGGCGTGTGAGATTACTGAATGTGACCTTGTAGTCACAGGGATAAGCTGCCCCTTCACCCACTGGCTTATGACAAAGATGCTTGTCAAACGGTGGACTCTGAGCAGCCCAGAACCCTCCAAAGTCTCAAGTATAGCTCCTGCCTCTACCCAGAGGAACAACTTCTGGGCACTGAAAAATATGACAGCAAGCTCTGATAACCAGAAAAGTATATGGATTCAAACGAAAAATGGTGGCTAGATACCTTTCTAGCTTTAGGAACTCAGAGAAGTCTCTTAAAGTTTCAAGCTTCAGCTTCTATATTTCAAACATTGTAACACACCACCTTGCAAACATTGCTGGGAACCTTTAGGCCTGATATGTGAGATTCTTATCATAGCTCTTGTATAATAATAGACATTAGGGCTGGAGCGGTAGTACAGCAGGTTGGGTGTTTGCCTTGCACACAGCTGACCCAGGTTCAATCCCCAGCATCCCGTATGGTCCCCTGAGCACCGCCAGCAGTAATTCCTGAATGCAGAACCAGGAGTAACTCCTGAGCACTGCTGGGTGTGGCCGAAAAAGCCAAAAAAATAAAAAAATACATTCAGAAATTTTATAAACTATTATATGCCTGTTATGAAAAAGAAACTGATCTGGCCTAAACTCAAATCCTGCATGGTCTGCTGCCCTGAGAGAAGAAGCCCACAAAAATTAAGAAATTAAGTGTCAATTTGATTATTTTATCGGGGACAGAAATGTTGGTGCGTAGACAACGAAGATAGAAACTGCAGGCAGTGAGCCACATCTATTCAAATGTAAACGTCCGATTCGGGTTGTTAGGCATTGGAATGACTCAATGCTCATGGCCAAGTTTGTGTTGACAAGGACACTGACGCCTCCAACACCTCTTTTATCACATGTTCAGAGGAACAATTCCTCTCCAGTGTCGAAAACGGCATGGTGAGATTCGTGCCTTCTTGTCTCGGTCAGACCAATGATGTCGTACTTGATCATTCGCACTTGTACCATCAGGTCCTCGATGGATGCATCTGATGCTAGCGTACATGCATTGAAAGTACAGACGATCATTTTTGTCTTCCTTCGTTGTGGCAGCCTAGTTCGGCCTTGAGATTTTGTCGGCCTCTCCTTTCTCATCCTTCTCAGTGCTGCCATGTCGGTGAAGCCTTCAGGGTCAGGTGAATGAGACCAGTTGTAGTTACTGGTTTTGGCATATCGAATACACAACGGATAGCTTGCCAGGCTCTTCCGTGCGGGCGGAATACTCTTGGTAGCTTTCCAGTCTTTCCGAGAGGGATAGAGGCTTTTGGGGCGACCTCTAATCACCCTTGTAGGTGTTACCATATTTGAACCCTATCAAATATGGTACGACAATTCCGGAAGATGGGTATTTAGTGTTTTATGATGTGTTGCGCGGCCGCGAAGCAGCCGCGCGGGTCCGGAAAGCGTCCTGGAGTGTGGTGGCGGCTGGGTAGTGGAGGTAGTGTCCAACATCTCATTATGATGAAAGAGAAATTGAGAAGTTCTACATGGAGCTGGAGAAGTTCTATAAAGAAGACCACACCTTCTACAAGATCATTGTGGATGATTTTAATGCCAAGATAGGACCGAGAAGATCAGCTGAAGAACTTCACATCGGGACCCATGGCCTAGAATGGAACGAACAGGGTGAGAGACTGTCTGAGTTCATCATGTCGACCAGGACCATCCATGGTAACTCACAGTTCCAGAAGGCAGAATCTAAACGTTGGACATGGAAGTCTCCCGGTGGACGATTCCACAACGAAATAGACCACATCACATTCAATCGACGGTTTTGCCTGACCGATGTCGCTGTTGTCCCAAAATTTCGAACGGGATCGGACCACCGTCTCCTTCGTGCAAAATTCTACTTCACAGAGCGGGGAGAAAGGGCTGCAAAGTTCAAAAAAAGAACTCCCAGAACGACCACCAACTGGGAACTCTTTGGCACTATTGCGGCAACATGGGAAGATGCCATTGTTGACAACATTGACGAGGAATACGATCAACTGGTTCAGCACCTCCACGAATGTGCGAGGAACGCCAAGAGAGAGATAGCCACAAAAAAACGCCTGTCTTCGAAAACTCTTGAGCTAATTCACCAGCGTGGTTTGGCGCATGCCTCAGGCAACCGCAAGCTAACGTCTGAGCTTGCAAAGCAGTGCAGAGATGCGATCAAGGAAGACCTCAAAGAGAGAAGAGCAGAAGTACTGGTAGATGCGGCAGAAGCTGGGAAAAGTATTCGTAATGCCCGCCTGTCCTTCGCCAACTACAAGACCAAGATGACTGCCCTCCAACGTCCTGATGGATCCATCACATCCTCCAGAAAGGCAATGGAGAAGATTATCCATGACTTCTACTCAAATCTCTTCGATAGCCATGTCCACTTGCCGACATACCAAATTCCACAGGATGGATATGTCATTCCCAACGTTCTCCCTTCCGAAATCCGACACGCCATTTCGTCGGTAAAGAAACAAACAGCACCCGGCCCAGACAAGGTCAGACCCTGAACACCTGAAGAACCTGCCATCAGTACTCATCAATACACTGGCTCAGCTCTTCACATGCTACCTGTCTGAATGCAAGATTCCGTCCCAGTGGAAGACCAGCAGGACTGTACTACTGTTCAAGAAGGGAGACATCCATGACATTGGCAACTATCGCCCGATCTGTGTATTGTCTGTCATCTACAAGTTGTTCACTCGAGTCATCCTAAATAGGATTGGCAGAACACTAGATGAAGGACAACCATGTGAGCAAGCCGGGTTCCGCAAGGGATTCAGCACCATCGACCATATCCACACAATAACCAAGCTCATTGAGGTTTCTCGGAAGTTCAAGATGCCGCTCTGTTTAATGTTCATTGATTTAAAGAAGGCCTTTGATTCTGTTGAGACGGAAGCGGTCATTGAAGCCCTAGCCAATCAGGGCATTCAAGCCCAATACATCAGGATCCTCCGTGAGCTGTATTGCGAATTCACTACCAGGATCTCACCATTCTACAAAGAAGTGATCGTTGATGTCAAGAGAGGGGTTCGGCAGGATGATACCATTTCACCGAAACTCTTCAGTGCCACCCTCGAGAACATCATGCGACGACTGGAATGGGAAGGAATGGGAGTGAAGATAGATGGTTGGCAACTACACCACCTCCGCTTTGTTGATGACATTGTTTTAATAACACCAAACATCAGCCAAGCGGCACAAAAGCTGGCCGACTTTGACCATGAGTGTGGAAAAGTAGGACTACAGCTGAATCTTACGAAGACAATGTTTATGAGAAACAGCCTCGTTCCTGATGCCCCATTCGCTCTCAACGGAACCACCATCTCCGAATCCAACAGCTATGTGTACCTAGGTCGAGAAGTCAACATGACAAATGACCTGGCACCCGAGCTGCGCAGGAGGAAGAGAGCAGTTTGGAACGCCTTCAAGAACGTCGAAGAATGGGGGTGGGGGGGATATTATCCATGGTGGTGGAAAATGGGCACGGGTGGAGGGATGGGTATCTGATCATTGTATAATCAAACCCAAGCACAAAAAATTGCAAATCTACAACTGTACCTCATGGTGTTTCACTAATAAAAAAAAATTTTAAAAAATTAAAAAAAAAAAAGAACGTCGAAGAAATAGCTAAGAGGATGAAGAACCTCCGGCTCTGGGCACATCTCTTTGATTCCACTGTTCTTCCTGCATTAACATATGCCTCAGAGACCTGGGCCCTACGCAAACAAGATGAGAACGCTATTCAGGTCTCCCAAAGAAGAATAGAAAGAGCTATGCTTGGAATATCACGTTTCACTCAAATGAGAGAAAAAATCCGGAGTTCCGACCTCCGTCGACGATCAAGAATCAGGGACGCTGTCTCATTTGCCAAGGTGTCAAAAATCAGATGGGCTGGTCACGTAATGAGATTTAAAGACGACCGTTGGACTAGAGCTGTTACTGACTGGATTCCACGGGATGTCAAAAGACCGCGTGGCCACCTACCTGCCAGATGGTCAGACTTCTTCTTCAAGATCATGAACGATCGGTTTGAGGCTCTTCATGTTCCCAGTGCGAACAGATGTTATTGGGCTACACTAGCACGCGACAGGGACAAATGGAGATGTTACTGGCGCCGCTCGAGCAAATCGACGACTAATGGGAAGTTAAGTGATTAAGTGATCGGGGACAGAGATGAGTCTCCAAGAGTAAGGCAACTACAAGAGTTAGTTGCCTAACAGACTTGAGAAAGAGTATAGTTACCTGGCCCAGTCATAATGCAGGACACTCATGTCGTGTTTGGACATGACACAGACTCAGGATGAGAAGCCCCATTTATTTTAAGGGAGCTGTTGGTCCAGAAATGTGGCTCAGTGGTAGAACACTCGCCTTGCATGTGGCCGACCCAGCACCATCTAGGGTCCCCAAGGAGTGATCTCTGAGGACAGGGCCAGGGGAAATCCCAGAGCACAGTGGGGTATAGCCCCAAAAGAAGAAAACAAAAAACAAGGAAGAAAAAGGAAACATAATGTAATTGCTGAGGTCAAATGATTTGGTGTCAGTACAAAAACATTATTAATTTGTGTCCATTTTCTTGACTCATCAATAATTAAGGATGGAATTGGGTCACTGTTTCCCTTCAAGACACAGTATGGGTATTCTCGAGGTCCTATTGGGCCAGAATAATAGACTAGACTATAGATAAACTAACACACAGTCCTCCGAAAGTGACCTTCCAGTTGTGTCTTGTCCCAGGTAAGTTTCTCTGCCTCCTTCCCCGGCTTTCTCCTTTTACCTTCATGTCACTAACACAGTTACTTGGTGAGTGGAACTCAGCAGCTTGAGTTCACTCAGTGCCATTACCCTGGCAAACCCACTGCCAGCCATCAGTTAAATAAGTTTTCTCCACCATTGCAGTAGAAATACTTTTCTCATGCTTCTTTGAAGGTTGATGTGAGTTTTATACTTAATACTAAATAAAACATTATAACCTAAAGAAGTATCCTGTTATTTGAATAAGGGTATATAAACTCTGCCACTTTTTTTTTTAAATATTATTATTTATAAATCTTTTTTTTACTTTACTTTTTTTTTAACTACTGTCTTCTTTGACATGCAAAACTAACATCCGGGGTCAGAGAGATGGTGCAGCAAGTATGGCACTTGCCTTGCATGCCACTGACCTGATTTCAATCCCCAGCACTGCATAAGGTTCCCTGAGCATTGCCCAAGAGTGATCCCTGAGTACAAAACCAAGAGTAAATTCTGAACACCACGAGATGTGGCCCCAAAACAGCCAAAACACAAAAATGACCTGTACTAGACCAGAAAGGTAGCTCAGCAACCTGAGTGCATGCTTTGTTTGCATGCAGGAGGCCTAGGTTCCATCCCTGGCCCTGCATAGTCCCCTGAGCATCAGAATGATCCTTGAGCAGAGCTGGAGTAGCCCCTGAGTGTAGTTCAATGCCAAAAGACCAAGCAGACAAGCAGAACTAACCTCTTTGAATTCTTCCCCAAAGCAACACCTTCCAGCTAGTAGAGTTGCTCATCATGTCCTTACTTACCTTACTATTGATGATAGTTCCAGCAGAAATAGAGACCAGACTCTAGAGAACTGATTGGTCCTGACAGGAAGACATTGATTTATTTCAGTGAGCAGATGGGTTGGTCTGATGTATCTTGTCTCAAACCCATAAATGCCTGGGCAGAAAACCTTCCTTTTCCAGATCTGCTGCTCTTCCACGGTTCTCCTCACACTTGTCTGACTGTGAGACAACAGAGGAAAAGTGTGGAGCTGTCACTGCTCCATGGAACAGGACTAAAGAACTCTTCAGGACAAGCTAAGGGTTCAACCTGCCTGCCCTCAGTTTCCCTAACACTTGGGTAGGCCTCATCCTTCTCTCATGGAGCTGGAAAGCGGCCATGAGAAGGCCTCTGGGAAAGTAGGGAAATGGTTTGGGCCCATGACCAGGAGTTTGTTGGCAGAATCTCTGAGAATCTGGAGGCAGCCCAGGAAGCCCCAGGCCTGGCTCTAAGGGCGGAGGAGATGCCTCTTGAGGACACAGGGAGAAGAGGGGGACCTCTCTGCCAGCCATCACTGTCTCCCTTTTCTCCGTGCAGAAGATTCTCACAGCGATCAGAACTGACCACAGAAGAATCCTTACCTCCAGAAAACAGGAGTGCCCCAAGACGCAAGCTGTCACAGAAGCAGAAGTCAATGGTTAGTGATGTTCTGTCAACTTGCAAACAGGACGTCTTTCCCGAGATATCCAGCTTCCCGGCCTCTCCATCTGCTGCTCTTTTGCAACCCCCCAAAAAAGTACTCTATACTGAAACTTGCCCTCCAAAGCAGCTTCTCCCTGTCAGGGAGTGGGATTCTCAGAGGCCAGGCCCACCAGGGTCTTGGTGGGGGTATACACTAATTGCACCTTACCTGAAAAGCCTTCCAGACCCCCTGCCCACAGGAGCCTCAGGGGCACTTGCCTCTGTAGCCCAGCACTATGATCTCGTTTCTTCATCCACCCTGTCCCTGCCCCATGCTAGGGGCTATAGCATCACAGGGTCCTGGGAGTAGATCTTTTTTTTCCTTTTTGGGTCACACCCAGCGATGCACAGGGGTTACTCCTGGCTCATGCACTCAGGAATTACTCCTGACAGTGCTCGGGGGACCATATGGGACTCTGGGAATCGAACCCGGGTTGGCCATGTACAAGGCAAATACCCTACCCACTGTGCTATTGCTCCAGGCCCGGGAGTAGATCTTTTGTCTTCAGGGACCAAGTGCTTAATGAAGTCTTTAAGTGTCTGGTGCAAGTAGAGAGATCCAAAAGTTCTGTGCCTTGAGGCAGGAATAAAGGGATGAGTGTTGCAGGAAATTGCACTGGGGCCTTCATATGCAAGGCAAGTCCTGAACACCCAGTTCTCTTGTCCTCCATTCCTGCTTTTTCAAGTTTATCAGTCTTATTTCTTTCTAGGCTGTGCTCAGCTGTGCTTAGGGTTTACTCCTGAATCTGCATTCAGGAATCACTCCTGGCAGTGCCCAGGGAACTATAGTTCAGTTCATAGAAACTGAATCCAGGTCAGGTGTGTGCAAGGTAAGCACCTTATCTACTGAACTATCTCTCCAACCATCTTTGCAGTTCTTATATAAAAATAATTAGTGTTCTTGGAATCTCATTGATATGTTCTTAAGATCATTAGTAGTCAACCAATAGCCACTGCTAGAACACGTAGCGGGTGATTTATCCCTGTGTGTATAGGTCCCATGTGAAGGACCTGGAATCACAGGGTCATACATTCCCTTTTTTTTTCTTCTTTTTGGGTCACACCCGCCGATGCACAGGGGTTACTCCTGGCTCTGCACTCAGGAGTCACTCCTTGCGGTGCACAGGGGACCATATGGGATGCTGGGAATCGAACCTGGGTCAGCCGCGGGCATGGCAAACGCCCTACCCGCTGTGCTATCTCTCCAGCCCCAAGGGTCATACATCTTTTTTTTTTTTTTTTTGGTTTGGGGTCCACACCTGGCAGCGCCCAGGGCTCACTCCTGGCAGGCTCAGAGGACCATATACGGTGCCAGGGATCAAACCCAGATCAGTGGCATGCAAGGCAAACACCCTTCCCACTGTAATGTGCTCTGGCCCGGGGCACATATATTGTGAGGCTGGGGACACCCAATACTGGAGACCCTGATTCCAAGGAGCGAAAGAGTCACAGTATGAATTCTTCACGGAGATCAAGACAGCCAGAGCCTGGCAAGACCCAAGGGCTTGAGATGCCAGGCCCCCACTTCCCTGCGGTGCCACGCCCCCCCCCGCCCCCACTCAGCTGCTCTCTCCCCTTTTCTCAATGCGGCTGCGGTGTGATGCTGCTCTCCACCACCAGGGGGCGTTGTTCCCCCTCACTAGCCCCGCGCGGGACCTCCCTGGCCGGCGGTGACCTGCCGGGAGAAGCAGCGCAGGGAGCGCCCAGAAACATTGTGCTCCTTCCAGCACGCTGGCTGATGCCTCCCCTGCTGTCAGCCAGGAGGCAGAATCAAAGCGGGATGACCAGGTTTTCCCTAGGAAGGCTGAAAAGCTTATCTTTAACTCACCGGGTCTGGGTGCTTTTTTGGCAATTTCCCTGGGGCCTTCTAGGATGACTTTGCATTAAGATTAAAACACATCGATTTTCATTATCTTTTATTTATTTATTGGCTTTTTTGGGTCACATCCGGCGATGCTCAGGGGTTCCTCCTTGCTCTGCACTCAGGAATTACTCCTGGCGGTGCTCGGGGAACCATTTGGGATGCTGGGAATCGAACTCGGGTCAGCCATGTGCAAGGCAAACGCCCTACCCACTGTGCTATTGCTCCAGCCCCTCATTATCTTTTTTTTTTTTTTTGGGCCACACCTGAGGATGCACAGGGCTTACTCCTGGATCTGCACTCAGGAGTTACTCCTGGCAGTGCTCAGGGGACCATATGGGATGCTGGGAATAGAACCCGGGTCGGCTGTGTGCAAGGCAAACACCCTACCCACTGTGCTATCTCTCCAGCCCCTCATTATCTTTTAAATAACCTTTCTAGATTGATTTTGTTGTTATTGTTATTTTGGTTTTTTACACCACACTGGCAGTACTCAGGAATTACTTCTAGCTTTGTGCTCAATGATCAGTCCTGGCAGAGCTTGGGGATTGAGCCTGGGTTGACTGCAGACACCTATTTTATTATCTCTCTGGTCCCTGTTTTTAAGTTTTAACATGACTCATTTTATGTGGCTATCTCTTTCTACTTTTATTTCTCCTATTTGAGAGATTATTGATCGTTCTTTTCCTTTTATAGCATCCTAAGACTTAAAGCTTTCTTTGTGTTGTTGGGGGCCTGGGAAAGTTGTATTTTAATAAATGGAGAAAATTATAAGGATGTGGCTCAGTTGTAAAGTGCAGGACCCTGGATTCATCTGCGGAGTTGCAAAATAAATGTCTAAACTATTAAGTGTATGTTAGGGGTTGTTTTTTTTTTTTCTTTTTGGGTCACACCCAGCAATGCATGAGGGCTATTCCTCGCTCTGCACTCAGGAATTACTCCTGGTGGTGCTCAGGGGACCATATGGGATGCTAGGACTCGAACCTGGGTCTCCGCATGCAAGGCAAACATTCTATCGGCTGTGCTGTTGCTCTAGCCCCAGAGGTATATTTCTGTGGTCAGTTTCTATTTTTAGTGCACCGTGTCAGCAAATGTAAGATTAACAATTTCAGTTGGTGGGGCCAAAGTGATAGTACAGCTGATAGGGCACTTGCCCTACACACGGCCGACCCGGGTTTGAATCCTGGCATCCAATCAGGTCTCCTGCGCACCACCAAGATGACCCCTGACTGCAGAGCCAGGAGTAACCCCTGAACATGCCAGGTGTGGCCCCAAAACAAACAAATCAAAATCAGGAGAGGCTGGAGAGTTAGTATGGTAAGTAGGGCCCTTGCCTTGTGTGCAGCCGACCTGGGTTCAATCCCTGGTATCCAAAATGGTTCCCCCAGCCCTGCCTTGAGTAATCGTGATCCCTGGGCACAGAGCCACGAGTCAGCCCTGAGCACCACTGGCACCATCACCTCCAAACGAAACAAAACAATCCAATGGGGGGGGGGGGACAGAGGGAGAGCATCTTGAAGGGAGCCTGTGGCCTCGGTAACCTGACCTATCCCTCCCTGCAGTCCTCTGGGCTCTCCACAGGGGGCTACCTTTCCCCGTGGCCCCACTACACCAGCGGCCAGACCATTCTGTATAATCGAAAGCCCTGCTCCGTGGACTGGCAGCCGCAGAAAAGGTAAGTGGAGGTCCGCCCAGTGGTGGACAGGCTGGTAGAGACACGGAACAAGGTGCTCGCTGCCCCAGACTAGGGGTGCAAGGGTGCTTGGGGTGCACATCACATCTCAGCCCACTGTCCCTGCAGTGTCCAGCAGGAAAAGTCCTTGGGCATCACCAAGCCGAGGTACCTCGAGCAGCTGGAGAACTACCTCCGTAAGGAGCTGCTTCTGCTGGATCTGAGCACCGATTCGGCCGAGGAGCTGCGGCTGCAGGTCAGAGCTGCCCCATCGGCGCCAGCCTTGCCCGTTCCTTAGGATTCCCCCTCCCAGGAAGAGAAATTTGATCCGTGACAAAGCCTACAGGCAGGCCAGTCTGCCCACGTGGAAGCAGAGCTCTCCAAAGGCTTGAGTTCCAGGGAGTCAGGTGGCCTGGAGGCCGTGTGTCTATGTCCAGGCCAGCAGGGGTGGTTGGACACCAGGGGGCGGGGGGATGGGGAGAGCCAGAACCTTGGCAGGTGAGGAAGCTGCAGGGTCAAATGGGGTCCTCAGGCCCAGTAACAGCACACCGGCTTGAGTATCTGGCTTTAGACAGAGCTGGAGGGGGAGGGGGAGGCGAGAAAGGGGAGGGGAGGAGAAGGAGGAAAGCAGGGCACAGGGGAGGAGAGTGAGGGAGAGGAGGGGGAGGAAGAGGTGAAAGATGGGTGAGATGGGGCTGGAGTGAGAGCACATTTGCCTTGCACGCAGCCGATTCGGGGTTTGATTCCCAGCATCCCGTATGGTCCCCTGAGCACCGCCAGGGGTAATTCCTGAGTGCAGAGCCAGGAGGAACCCTTGAGCATCGCCGGGTGTGACCCAAAAAGCCAAATTGAAAGATGGCTGAGAGGAGGAGGGAGAGAGAAAGGGAGAAGGAGGAAGAGGAGGAGGAGGAGGAGAGGAGAGAGACTGGAGCAGGGGAAGAGAAAGAGGAAAGAGCAGGGGAGAGAGGGAAGAGATGCTGCCGGAGTCCTATGATGAGAGAGGGACTGGCCCAGACTCCGCTTGCCGGGCCAGAAGAGACGGCTGGCTGCAGACCCGGGCTGCACACGACCAGTGAGGATCAGGCTGGAAGCCCAGGGAGGCCCGCCGCCCTGAGGAGGGGGGGCTGGGGCTCATCCTGGCCCACTGCTGTCCCCCAGCTTTGCTGAACCCAGTGGGTCAGGAAACCACAAGGCTCCTGGGATGCCAGGGCAAGGCTGGGGCCTTCCAGCTCATCTGCCCCCCTCCCCAAGGGCGTTAATATGGGGAGAGGTGCTGGGAGACCCAACGAGGCACAGTGCACGCAAGAGCCCGAGAAGGGGCTGGGCCCAGAGTGGGGGAGGTCCTGGTGCCTGACACCTGCCAAGCTGCAGGACCCAGCGACCCCAAGAGCAGCTGAGAGGGACAGATGTTTGCACGTCACCTGAATCTTGGTGCAGAAACATGGCCAAGTCAGGCCAAGTCAGACTCCATCCCTGCTGAGGACGGCGGCCCTAGGCCAGGAGGTAACTATCCCCTTTTCTTGTCAGCCTTACCGAGAGATCTTTGAGTTCTTCATAGAGGACTTTAAAACGTACAAGCCGCTGCTGTCATCCATCAAGAACGCATATGAGGGCCTGCTGGGTAAGACGGTAGCCTGGCCCGGGCCCAAGTCCATCTCCAGCAACTCCTAACAGGCCTGGCACTCACCAGACCCCGCTGAGCCTTCCTGCGGCCTCTGTACCTCTCCAGAGTCCCCCCCCCCCCCCCCCCGCCCCTGGGAAGTGTGTTCACTGCTAAGAATGAAGGCTGGAGCCAGGGACAGGGTTTGGGAAGGAAGGAGGCATCCCCACCCCTGCAAGGCCCCAGGGAATGGGCACGGGCAACACCCCAGTCCCTCCTGTACACTTAGTGTTTGGCTAAAAAGAAGAGGGACTGGAACGTGCCCCAAGTGCTAGATGACCTACCTTGCACGTGCGAGGGCCTGAATTTGATCCCCAGCACCACAAGCCTCTCCTCACAAACGCTGTAGGGAATGACCTTGGTAGCCCCCAAGTGCCACCCTGCATGCCCTCCATTATAATTTCAAAAATGGGGCCGGAGAGAGAGCACAGTGGGTAGGGTATTTGCTTGCACATGGCTGATCCAGGTTCGATTCCTGGCTCCTATCCCATATGTTCCCCCGAGCACCACCAGGGGTAGTTCCTGAGAGCAGTCAGGAGTAACTCCTGAGCATTGCGGGTGTGTCCCCCACCCCCACCCCACGAAAACTAAACCAAAGTTTTAAAAAACTCACACTCCTTAATATATATGCATCCAATGACAGACCAGCAAAAGACTTGAAAAATATTTATATATATATATTTGCTTTTTGGGTCACACCCAGCAATGCTCAGGGGTTACTCCTGGCTCTGCACTCAGGAATTACTCCTGGCGGTGCTCAGGGGACCATATGGGATGCTGGGAATCGAACCCGGGTCGGACGCGTGCAAGGCAAACGCCCTACCCGCTGTGCTATTGCTCCAGCCCTGAAAAATATTTTTAATTAAAATTGTGCTGCTGAGGAGGTGTGTAAGCAGCAGAACACATCCAGCCCGTGTGAGGTCCACATCAATCTTGGCACCAAATGCCCCCCAGCACCACCCGATGAAGCCCTGTGGCCCCCAACACTCTCAGTCTGAGGTGCCTGACTTTCCAGCTTGCACCTCTGGGCAGAGAGGAGTGGGGGATAGGGGTGTTGCCCCCATTAAAAATAAAGCAATGGTGGGCTGGAGCAATAGCACAGCGGGTAGGGCACTTGCATTGTGTGTGACCAACCCGGGTTTGATTCCCAGCATCCCATATTGGTCCCCCGAGCACCGCCAGGAGTAATTCCTGAGTGCAGTCAGCAGTAACCGCTGAGTATCGCCGGGTGTGACCCAAAAAGCAAAAAAAAATTTTAATTAAAAAATAATAAATAAAGCAACAGGCTACAAAGAACAGGGATTAAGGTTCTCATCTTGCATGCAGCTGACCCCAGTTCAACCCTGAGCACTGCATGGACATCTGTGCACAGAACCGGGAGTAGCTCCTGAGCACTGCTAGGTGTGATGTGAAAACCAAAAAGTGAGACATGCATAAGGCAAGAAGACCTGGAGCAGGAGCCGTGCTCTAGGCAAGGCGTCCAGACTTCCAGAATTCTCAGGGTCCATAGTCACGCACTGTAGCCTCAGGGCCAGTGTCGTTCCCCGGCCCCAAGAGAAGTCTCCCTCTTGTCTTGATTAGCCCACCAGAGGGAGAAGATTCGGACCCTGGAGCCACTGAAAGCCAAGCTTGTCACTGTGAATGAGGAATGCAGCGAGCGAATCCTGGCCATGAGGGCCGAGGACAAATCGGAAATCTCTGTGCTGAAGAAAGAGAAGATGGACTTGCTGAAGCTCATTGACAAGAAGAATGAGGAGAAGGTTTCACTGCAGACTGAGGTGAATGTACCTCGGGTGACAGTGCAGTCCCTGAAGTCCTGCCCCCCTCCCCACCCCAGGGTCTGCTATGGCACTGGGCACTGAGGTAGCCCTGAGTGACCCCCTCCTTGGCTCAGCATGGGGACCATGGCGGTGAGTCCTTCTTGCCTCTCAGAGGCCAGGCTTTCCCTGTAGGCAGGATTCTCAGGATGGCCAGTAGAGCTGTTGTGTCCCCCTTCCCTGGCTCTTGGCCTATTGCCCGGGGTAAGTCACTGCACCCAAGGGCCCAGAGGCAGCCTCACCCATAGCCACCTTCCTAACAGGTATTCAAACTGAGGAAGAACTTGGCTGAGGAATACCTGCGTTACCTCAGTGAGCGAGATGCCCGCAAGATCCTCCTCGCTGACCTGAATGAGCTGCGGTACCAGCGCGAGGACATGTCTCTGGCCCAGGCCCCTGGTGAGCCTGCAGGATCCGACTCTCCCCTCCCCGCTCCATTGATTCCGCGCTCTCAAGACCTGAGCATTCAATCCCTCCACTCCCTCACTCGGTGGGCAAAGTTCCTGCTGCATGAACTTTACATATAGAAGTCCCGGTTCATCTTTTTTTTTCTTCTTTTTGTTTTTGGGTCACACCCGGCGATGCACAGGGGTTACTCCTGGCTCATGCACTCAGGAATTACTCCTGGCGGTGCTTGGGGGACCATATGGGATGCTGGGAATAGAACGTGGGTAGGCTGCGTGCAAGGCAAACACCCTGCCTGCTGTGCTATCGCTCCAGTCCAAGGGAGCCCCAGTTCAGTTCTGACACTGCATGGTCCCCTGAGCAGCGCCAAGAGACCCAAACACCAGGACAAGTGTAGCCCAAGTACCCCTCATGTTTGGGCCAAAAAAAAAGAAAAGCACTTAACCAATACCAAAACCAAGTCATTGTTTATATAGGAGACAACTGTTCGACAGGCCTGATACCCTACTTCCTGGGCTGGCTTACTTCCTGAATGTTTTGTTGTTTGGGTCACACCTGGTGATGCTCAGGGGTTACTCCTGGCTCTGCACTGAGGGCTCACTCCTGACATTGTTCAAACCCCAGTGGCTGCGTGCGGGGGCCAATGCCTTACCTGCTGTCCTATCACTCCAACCCCGGCTTGCTGACTTTTTGGTGTTTGGATCACACCTGGCAGTTTTCAGGGGTCGAGCCAGGCCGTGCTCAGGATTTATCTGGTGCCAGATTGAACTTCGAGCTCCAGCATGCCAAGGAGGAGCCATGTCCCTGACCCCTAGGCTTCTTCCCTTAACCGAAGCCCTGGACTGGCAGTGCTGTGGAAGAAGAAAAAGGGCCCCTAAGCAAGGAGAGCAGGTTCTGGGACAAGCTGGGTCCCAGGACCAGGGAGACTCAAGCTGGCTGGCCTCCTGGCAGGCACCTGGGGGGAGGACCCTGTGAAGTTGACCCTGGCTCTGAAGATGGCCCGGCAGGACCTGACCCGCACACAGATGGAACTCAACACCATGAAGGCCAACTTTGGAGACGTGGTGCCCAGGAGGGACTTCGAAATGCAAGAGAAGATCAACAAGGATCTGCAGGAGCAGGTGTGTGTGTGGGGGGCGGGGCCAGGCGGGGCGGGACGCTGTCCTGTGGGTGGGCACCGGGGACCAATCGCTCTCCCACAGCTGGAGAGCCTGCGCGCCGACTACGAGGAGGTATGCAAGGAGCATGAGATCCTGCTGCAGCTGCACATGGGCACGCTGAAGGAGCGGGACCAGTTCTACAACGAGCTGCAGGAGATCCAGCGTACCTCCACACCGCGGCCAGACTGGGCCAAGTGCGAAGGTGCTGTTGGCTGCCGGGGCTTCGAGAGCTGCTGGAGGGGGCGGTCTGGACCCCAGTTTTCTCTCCCCCCGCTGCAGAAATCGTATCCGGGGGCCAACCGCGCTGGCTGATACTGGCCGAGGGCAAGAACAGCGACCAGCTGGTGGATGTGCTCCTGGACGAGATTGGCGAGGGGTTGCTCCGGCAGAAAACCTTCTTCCAGGGCCTGGTAGGGGCGGGCCTGAGCTCAGGAAGCTTGAGGTCAGGCTCAGAACAGCCAGGCCTTGGGCCGGAGAGACAACACAGTGGGGAGGGCGCTTGCCTGGCACTTGGACAACCTGGATTCAATCCCCGGTATCCCATACCATTCCCCTGTCCCTCCCCGCCCCCACACACACAGAACCTGGAGTGATCCCCAAGCAGAGCCGAGAGTAAGCCCTGAGCTCCACTGGGTGTGGCCCCCTTCCCCGCAAAAAAATACACAAAAAATAGCCAGAGTTGGGAGTCTCAGGAACCACTGAAGGTTTTGTCCTGTTTGAGGGTGAGGGCAGAGGCGCTTGGAGAGGAACTGGCCCTTTTCCTTCCCAGGGCTACGGGAGTGACGTTCCCTCCTGCCTTCGATTCGATGGCGTGGTGGAGAACAAGAAATCGAGCAGGAAGGAAGTGTTGTTGCTCATCAGGGATTTCTGGAAGGCGCGTCTTGCAGAAGACAAGGTCAGATCTCACTCAGGTGCTAGGGGCCAGGTCCGAGGTGCTAGAGGGCAGGACTGGGAGGGGAAGTGTCCATGGGGCGGGCTGACCAGTTCCCCAACTCTGCAGAGAGAGTCATTCTCAGATTCCTTCTTCAATTTCCTGGACCGTCGTTTTGAGACCAGTGAGGCGATGGCCTGGGCTTATACAATTTATGAATACGTCAAGCTCAACCGCTCCAATGAGGTGATGATTCAGTTCTATGCCACCTTGGTGGGAAAGGTGAGTTCGCACGTGATCCTTTGGCCTCTGTCCCCAAAAGGCTGCTCACCATCCCCACCAGAGCGGAAAGCCTCTAGGAAGTGCTTCCCTCCCTATAGTGCAGCGAGAATGTGTACCTCAGGCACCAGGAGACAGTAGCACAGCTGCAGAAGGAGATGATGAGTGCTGACCAACAGAACGAGGGCATGCTGACCATGGAGCAGCTGAAGTGAGAGGCCGGTCCAGCCTCCCCCAACTCCTGCCCACCCACCACTGCTCCAGGGCCAGGCTCCGGGCGGTGCACGGAAAAGGGAAGCCTGGGGGAAGGGCCACATCCTCAATGCTGGCTGCCCTTTAGAGCACTAGTCGGGACTGACAGGGGTGCTGTGCTAAGAGCGCAAGGCTTCAGCCAGGCCCCTGATGACCTCTATGTGTCCCCATAGTTCCATTCTCAAGAGCACCTTCCCCCTGAAGAAGGATGAGAAAATTCAGGAGTTGATGGAGGCAGCGGGCTGGAATGCCAAAAGTGACATTTCAGACTCATTCAAGTACAGCATCTTATTTACAGAGGTGGGTGGGGGCATCCGGGAACTTGTCACACCCTAGCCTCTACTGGACCCTAGCCAATGGGCCCTCACCCTGCCTTGTGGTCCCTCCCAGGATGAGGAGGGCCAGAGTACACTCTTTGTGCAGAAGATCTGGGAACAGTACATGAATGAAAAAGCCGAGTATTTGGAGGAGTTTAAGCAGGAGCTGGGCCTGGAACTGTGAGTGACTCTGGGGTCTTCTAGCCCACTTAGCCGTAGAGGTTCTACAGGTGGGGCCAGAGGGTCGCATTTCCCGGGTCTCCTTGGGCACAGAATGTTTCTGAGCACTATAGGCTGCTCAAGCCTGGCCTTTTTTTTCCTTGTGGAGCAGCACCAGTGCAGTGACCCCATTCATGGTCCGTGAAGCCCTGATGAACATAGATCCCAGCCTGGAGAAGCAGGCCCTGGACACCCTTGTGAGCCAAATCTTCCGGATCTCTGTATCAGAAATGACAGAAAGTGAAGGGAGGGAAGAGGAAAAGGAGATTTCTGTCAACGCCGCACTGGAGTATCTTCAGGCGATGGATGTTGTGCGCATGGGGCCTCGGGAGCAGGATCCTGCAGCGAAGGCCACTGGGCTCAGCTCCCTTGACGTTTAAGGTTTAAGGGATAATTGCTTTTGTTTTGCTTTTTTTCGGGGTTGGGGGTGGGGGAGCATACCTGGCGGTACTCAGGGGTGTTCAAGAAACCATGCAATGCCAGGGACTGACCTGGGGCTCCTGCATGCAGAGCATTGCACTCCAACCCTCCAAGCTATCTCCTCGGCCCTTTAGGATAAAATGATTCATTTGATCTTGTGCTGTCCTCCACGTTATTCTGGGAGGCAAGGGGAAGGAGGCAGGTTCCTTGGCCCCAGGACATGTACCCCACACGTACCAATCACAGTTTATTCTCTTTGTGATACTTTATTGGTGCCAAGGGGCGGGGAAGGAGACCTGGAAGTGTATATGGAGCAGAAGAGTAGATGGAGGGACAGGGCAGGTCGGGGCCTGGCCACTACTGGGCAGGGTACACGGAGTTGCCACTGAAAGCACAAGGGATGAGAAGCTGCCGGTATTCTAGGGGCAGGTGCCGCTCCACAAACACATGCAGGGAGACTTGGTCGGTGACTAGGCGCTGCCTGCAGACAGACGGACAGACGGAGTCAGTGCCGGCACCTCCCGCCCTCCCTCCCCGCGCCCCACTCACCGGCGCATGAGCAGCTCCAGGTCCTCCGGTCTCACTGTGCTGCGGCCAGCATGTGCAGTGTAGACTTCCAGGTCATCACACAGATGCTGGAAGTACTTGTCCAGGCTGCCAAGATCAGGCACGTCCGACTGAGCTGTGGTCGCAGTCGTACGGCTCCTCTCCCCTCCCCGGGGCGGGACTCACCTCCTCTCTACCATCTCCAGAGCCGCCTTCTCCATGGTCATCTTGGCATGGAAGCCGAAGAACTTCACATAGTGGCTCAGCCCGACCTTGTAGGGATCTTGGCGGGTCCTGGGCCGAGCGGTTCTGGGCCTGGGGCCAGGGATTTGGGCTGTGGAAGGAAGCTGGGCAGGCTCTGAAGGGACGCTGCAGGAGACAGGCACAGTGAGATAATCTTCCTCCAGGAGAGTCCGGACCCTATGGAAGTTCCTCCCCTCCCCTGAAGCTGGCAGCGGCCCTCAGGGAATGACCCAGCCCAGCTAGGGCGCTCTGCTGGGAAATCCTCTATCTGAAGGCCCACAGAAAGAGGATAACCCAGCCCCGGTGCGTCCCTGCCACCCCCAGAGGCCCACGAGGAGTGTCTTACACCGCAGTGGTAGGTGGTAGTCCCGGCTCAAGAGACAGATGAGGCTGCCTGGCGTGAAGAAGCTCCGGGACACTGGCCGACTCTGGACTTGCTGCAGAGCAGAGCGAGGGGCGGTGTCCAGGCCCCAGCAGCGCCGCAGCCTCCCTGCTGCCCAGAAACCACCCAGTGTTGCGTCGCTTCTGCCTCCTCTCAGGCTGCGACTCAGCCCGGGTCACTGCACTGTGTTCTCTTACCTGCCCTATCAGGGGTGTCCTCATCTGCAGAAGACTCATCTGTGTCCATGGCCTCCAGAGCCCCACAGGACCCATCTTTTTCTGTCATTTCCGTGTCCCCTGCGAGCTCTCCTGCCCTAACAGATCCTTGGGCCACGGCTGTCTCCTCTTTGCTCACGGTCAAGTGCTCTTCCCCCCTCTCCACAGCTTCCTTGGGAACTCCAAGCTGTGGAGGCTCGGCTCCATCCTCTCTCAAGGCAGTACTGCTGATGTTCATCGAGACACTAGTGCTGACGTTCAGGGGGCCGCTAGCGAGAGAACACTCTGCCTCCTCTGCCTCTCCTGCCGGATGCTGGGCTGGGTTCTCAGGACCTGCATCCGGGACAAAGTCTAAACTAGGTCAAGGCTGAAGCTAAGAGGTCTGGAGAGATAGTACAGTGGGCAGGGCACTTGCCTTGCATGCAGCCAGCCTGGATTCAATTCCAGAATTACATATGGTCCCCCCGTCCCGCCATGAGTGTGATCCCTGAGCACAGAGCCAGAAGCAAGCCCTGAGCACCATCAGGTTTGGCCAAAAACAAAATAAAACTAAACAAGACTGTAACTGAAATAGGTAAAGAGAACAACAGGGGCAGAGCAATAGTACAGCAGGTAGGGCATCTTTTTTTGGGGGGGTCACACCTGGCGATACACAGGGGTTCCTCCTGGCTCTGCTCTCAGGAATCACTCCTGGCGGTGCTCAGGGGACCATATGGGATGCTGGGAATCGAACCCGGGTCGGCCGCGTTCAAGGCAAACGCCCTACCCACTGTGCTATCACTCCAGTCCCAGGTAGGGCATTTGTCGTGTATGCCGCTGACCTGAGTTCGATCCCTGGTATCCCAGATGGTCCCCCAAGCTGCCCAGGAGTCATCCCGGGGTGCAGAGCCAGGAGTAAGCACCACCAGATGTGGCCACCCCCCCCCAAAAAAAAAACAAAAACAAAATAAAACAAACACAGAACAATAAAGCCCAGTCCAGCCTATCGAGGATAAAAAGCCAGGGGTAAGCCCAGGATACTGTGTGGCGTGTCACAGCCCAACAGACTCTGCTTCTGGACAGAGAAGAAGCGACAGCCAGGGGTCCTGAGGGCCCACATATGGGGTCAAGAGGGAAAACCACCAGTGCCCACTCTCAGCCAAATCATGCGTGGCTCCTGAGCTCCTGGTGCCATACTCACTCTTGTCCTGCAGCCTAGGACCGTCAGGCCACTCGGCATTTCCAGCCGCAGCGTGAGAAGTGCTGGGCAGGGAGCTCTGCCTGGGGGAGCTGCCAACCACGGGCTGGGAAAACGGCTGGGTGTCCTCCAACACTATGTCATTTGGCAGGGGAGCACCAAGGGTCCTCTGGTTATCACCTAGAGATCAAGGGTCAGGTGCTCTCAGTCTATTTCAGATCACCTGCTGCTACCCAGTGGCCAGGCCCTTGGGCAGCAGACCACAAGACCCCGCTCCAAGCACTCTGCAGAGACTGGTACACTCTGAGTCTTGATTGCCTTCCACTGCTCTTGGCTTACCTTCCTGCCACTTGAGCTGGCATTCCCAGACCCCAGACTGCTACCCTGCACCCCCTCAACCAGTCCCCCATTCACCCCTTCTCACTCCTTTCTCTTACTCCAGTGAAAGCTGGACTCCTAGATCAGCTCTGACTGACCAGCTGACCCCAAAACCTAGCCCCTTCCAACCTCCCAACCAGCTCAGAGCACACCACATCCCTTTCCCACCTGTCCACCCTGTAGCCCCTCAAGGATACGGGGTCGTAAAGACACTAGACTGACACTGGAGCTCAGCAAGCCAAGGGACACACCTTGTGGAAAGGAAACACCTGCTCATGGGTCTACTTGACCAGGCTCACTCACTGTCCTTGATGCATGGAACGGGGCAGGAATCCTTGACCTAGCAGAAGTTTCTAGCACACTGTCATGGGAGAGCTTTCTTCACTTGAGGAACAAAAGGGCGTCTCAATCTCACCTGGAGAAGCCAAGGTCATGGTAGCATCACGAAGATCCTGTAAAAACGCACCCACGTCTACAGCTCGGCGGGTGAGAGGTCTGCGGGCCAAACCAGGCCTCTGCACTGACTGTGACTGCAGGGGCGTGGCAAACGTCAGGCTGAGGGAGCTGGTGGGAGGCAGGAGGCACAGAGGAAAGTCAGGGGCCCTAGCGATGCTCAGGGTTTACTTTGGACTCTACGTCAGTAATTATTCCTGGCTGTGCTCGGGGACCATATGGGATGCTAGGGATTGAACCCAGGTTGGTTTCATGAAAGGCAAGAAGAGACCCGCCCTGGCACCCCCCCCCCCCCCCACATACACACACACAAACACAGTACTATCACTCAGGCCCTCTTCGAATACAGCCACCACATTGGCTGCTGTGGTGAGGCTAAAGCTGATGCCAGGGAGATGCTCAAGGGCCTGGAGCCCGGCTTGATCCCTAGCACTGCACAGTTCCCCACGTACCTCTGAGAGCAACCCCGGAGCAATGCACCAGCAGAAGCCACTGAGGTGGTGGCCCACAAATAAAAAAGATACATTTAAAAAGAAAAGGGGGGAAGCCATAGTGTTGGAGGGTAGGGCATTTGCCTTGCATGTGCTGACCCGGGTTCAATTCCTTGTCATCCCGTATGGTCCCCTGGGCACCATCAGGAGTGATTCTTGGGAGTAACCCTGGGCATCTCCAGGTGTGGCCCTCAAACCAAACCACTAGCAGGGTTGTAGAGATAGTACAGCAGATAAGGTATTTGCTTTACACACAGCCAACCTGGGCTGAATCCTGGTAGCCCTTGATTATAATTCCCACTAGGAATGATCCCGGAGCTCAGCAGGGTTTGGTCCAAACCCTACCCTCGCCCAAAATTAAAATTCCCAAATTAAAACCCCACACAGCAGCAGCAGTAGCAGCAACGCAGTGGGATGCTACCTCAGTCAGTCGGCACCTCCCACCCCAAACCTCTCCTCCACCAAAGTCCCAGTACCTGGTGACAGCAGATGCATCAGCATTCCCGTGAGACTCTGCAAGAAAATGCCCACAAAAAAACATGGTAAGTCAGGGCCCCGAGGATCTTCTCTGAGGACACCTCAGTCTTTTAAATTCAGGAGAGAGGGTGCAAGGTGGTGTCCCAAACCTTACCTTGGGAGGGAGGCAGTAGCCCATGGTTGAGGCCCTGCTCGAACTCTGACAGCCTCAGTCTCTGCCGCCTCCTGCTGGACGCCAGCACACGGGGAGCCACGGTGGGGGAAGGCCCCAGTGCGGGAAGTTCTAGCTCTGGGCTGCCGGGATACAAACACAGCCCTGGCTGGTTGGTCTGCAGTGCCAGCGATCGAACCCAGGGTCTCACACATGCAAAGATCCCAGAACCCCAGTTGTGACTGTCCCTGGAGGCTCTCTGGCCGGAGAGGTTTAGCATCCCGCCCAGGAGGGGAGGTCACTGTGTACCTGCCCAGGCTGATTTCCTGTCTGGATGGCTGCACCTTCTGCAATGCCGGGCCTGGCTTCACCACTGGCTGTGGCTTTATGGCAGAAGATTCTGGGGCTGCAGAAATGGAAAGGAGACAGTGGAGCTGGCAGGGCAGGTCGCCCTGAATGAGGTACATCACGGGATGGTGACAAACTCTGACCAGCAGGTCCGGCTCACTCACCAGTCAGTAGGATGTTTGTCAGCAGCGTCCGAGGTGTCTGTTCATCCGGGTACCCACTGGCTTGAACTTGACGCACTTTGCCGGCAGACTTTGGGGGAAAAGCACCAAGCAATTAATCGGTTTCTTCTTCTTTTTTTTTTTTCTTTTTGGGTCACACCCGGCAATGCACAAGGGTTACTCCTGGCTCTGCACTCAGGAATTACCCCTGGCGGTGCTCAGGGGACCATATGGGATGCTGGGAATCGAACCTGGGTCCGCTGCATGCAAGGCAAATGCCCTACCCGCTGTACTACTGCTCTAGCCCCTTAATCGGTTTCTTTACCTCGAGAGTCCCTCAAGGCACAGGGCTAGATTCAGGGCCCCCAAAAGGCAGGCTGATCAGGATGCAGCCACTTACCCTGATTCTTTGGGATCTGCGCCTGGTGGTTGTCTTTGTTTGGCTGCGCTCATCCCAGGAGGGAGCAGTTTCCAGCAGGGCTTTCTGTGCTCTGTGTGAAGATAGAGAATAAAGAGAGAAGGGGGGGAACTAGAGGATGCACCTGGGCAGAGATGCGCCTTCAAGGATCTTGGTCTGAAGCCCTTTCCCCTGGGGATTAAGGACCCAGAAGATACATGTCCCCACCACAGGCCCTGTTCCAGCTGGATGCTGTGGATGAAAGGAAAGAATCTGAGAAGAGAGGGAATGTGATGAACCCACCAGAAGGGCTGAGAGAGGCTTCGCCACGGTGACTGCCGAGAGATCAGTGACACACGGAAGGGAAGCAGAAGGAAGAGTTCCTTTTGCATCCATTCCAGATGGGAAAGTGACAACTGTGGGGTTGGAGGGAGTACAGGGGATACAGTGTCTGTCTTGCACAGGGACAATATGGATTTGTTCCCTGGCTCTGTGCTCAGGGATCACTTCTGGCAGGGCTGGGTCAGGGTGGGGGTGGTGGGTCATATGGGGTGCAGAGGATCAAACCCAGATGCCAGTACAAGACAAGCGCCCTACCCACTGTACTATCATCCCAGCCCAATTTGATTAGTTTTTATTATTGTGGGGGCCACTCCCTACGATGCTGCCAGGCGTGGGTGGGGCATTAGGTTTCCGGGGATAGAATTCAGGACTGGGCACATGTGTTCTACCACTTGAGCCACACCTCCAGCCCTGACATTTATTTCTAAATATCTGAAACCTCTAAGGGAGTTAAGGCATATGCCTTCTATCGGGCAGCCCCGGGTTCTATTCCTGGAACCTGAGCACTGCAGGGTGGCTCAGGTTAATTGTCAGCACTGCATCTTCGGGCCCTTGAATGGAGCTTCCAGTCTGGCTGGTGAAGAATTGCCAGAAGGGGCCCCAGGCCTATCCTAGGCACAGCCTGGAACACCACTCCCCCAAATCCAGACAAAAACATAACAAATGCCAGTAAAGAAAATGCAATTACCAATTTCTATATCTTCCGCACCAGGAGCTCACCCCTGCCCGCTGCCAACTCTCACCACCTGGTTCCCTAACAAAGCAGTTTTCACAATTCGCAGGGTGGTTCTCTGCTCTTCCCCCCCAGCCTTCTGAAAAGAGATGCAGAACCGCTAGGACTGAGCCTGGAGGGAAAGGTGGGGTCACCTAACAGGCAGTTGAAGGCAGGGGGGGTTCAGCTGGGGGTTCACACTGGGCTGGGGTGGGGCAAAGTGGCCCAAAGTGGCCCAGTGACTCTATGAGTCAGAGCGAGAATGCAACGGGTAGGGCCCTAGCCTTGCTCACGTCGGACACAGTTCGGTCCTCGGCATCCCATACGGTCCCTAGAGCACCCCCAGGAGTGATCCCTGGGGGCAAAGTCAAGAGTAAGTGCTGGGCACTAATGGATGTGACCCCTCCAAAAAACAACAAACTAAGGTCAGAGGGCTGGAGAGGTGGTTCCAGGAGCTGGAGGATTGCCAAGAGGCCGGGCTCCATCCTCGGCTCCGCCCCCAGCACGCCCGGGGCACCGGCGGGGTGTGGCCCCCAAAGCAAACCAAAAGAAACGCCATCCGAGGACCAAATTCTGGCGCTTTCCTTCTCCCCAGACGGCCGGGTCAGCGCCGGGTCTCCACGAGCCCGCCCACCCCACCCTGTCCCCGCACGGCCCCGAGCACTATACCGGGTCCGAGCACTCCGGCGCAGCCGCGGGGTGCGTGGGTCCGCGGTGTCCAGCACGCGCCGCAGCAGCGTCCGCACCGTCGGCTCGCCGTCGGAGAGCCCGGAGTCAGCCATGGCCGAGGCCGTCAGCAGACTCGGCGGCCGCCGCCTTCCCGCCGCCGTGTTTAAGCCAACTCTCGCGAGGCTACCGCGCAGCCCCACGGGAGTTGTAGTCCCGTTCTACCCGCCCCACCCGGCAGCGCGCGGGGGGGGGGGGGGGGGAGGGGGGAGGTGCTGGTGCTGGTGGGTTTTGCCAGCAGCTGAGTCGCGGCGGCCGCGAGGTGCGCCTTGGCCAGATGGGTGCCGCCGGGAGAGGTTTTTCTCATCTGTAAGCTGAGAATGCGAAGTACCTAACAAAAGGCTGGCTAAGATCCAGCGAGGGAAAGCTTAACTGAAAGCCACGCAGTCAGCCAGGCTGTTAAGACATATCAGTAGTTACATAATTTCTTCGTCTTTTTTCCCTTTTTTGGCAGTGCTAGGTTTTGAACCCAGAGCTCCCTGCATGCAAGAAGGTGCTCGGTCACTGAGCAACTTCTCTGGCCCCAGTTTTGTTTAATTTATTTGGGGGAGGAGGAAGAGGAGCTTTGAAACCCCACTCGGATGTGCTGGGGGTCACGCTGAGACCAGTCAGTCATGTGTAAGAATGGGCCTTCTGCCACATAGTACAGTCAGTTGCCTTGCATGTAGCCAACCCAGGTTTCATCCCCAGCATCACATATGTTCCGGGAGCCCGGCCAGGAGTGACCCCTGAGTCCAGAGTCAAAAGTAAACTCTGAGCACCACTGAGTGTGACTCAACACACACACACACACACACACACACGTGCACCTTGGGATCGAAAGCAATAGTACAAAAAAAAATGTACCTTAACCTTTCTAGCATCGATAGATATTAGGATATTAGGAGGAATTTTTGTTTGTGTGTGTGTGTGTGTGTGTGTGTGTGTGTGTGTGTGTGTTTTGGGGGATGTTTTGGCTATACCCGCTGATGTTCAGGGTTATTTCTGGCAGTGCTCAGGGAACCATATGGAACGTTGAAGATCGAACCTGGTTCAGCTGTGAGCACGGCAAATGCCCTACTCTTTCTATTATCTCTCCAGCCCCTCGCATGAATCTTTTCAATCTGCCTCTCTCACGGTGAGCAGAGACACTAGCATTAAGGAAAGAAAATCAATCAATTGGCTGTATGAGGCCTTGGGTTCATCCATGGCACTGCCAGGTGTGGCTCTAGAGGCCTGAGCACCGCCCAGTACCAAGTCCTGAACCCAAGCCCATTCCACAGGCAGAGTGTCACAGGGAGTAACCCCAGGGTGCAGCCCCTATAAATAAATAGCAAGGGATGTGGCTCAATCATAAAACTCATACCTATGAGGTTTTAGGTTCAATCTCTGATACCACAAAACAAAATAATTTTATTTCAAATCCAACCTGCTTTTGCATTTGCACAGACATCTCTGGAGGATATGTATCATTATTATTGTGTTTTATATATATATGTATATAGTTTTGGGGCTACACTTGTGGTGTTCAGGGCTTACTCCTGGCTCTGCACTCAGGAGTCACTTCTGGGAAGATTCGAGCAACTGTAAGTGGTGCTGGGATTGAACTGCGAAAAGGAAGTATCCGACCCAATGTACTATTGCTTCAGCCTCTGGAGGATATGCATTAGAAGAGACTAGTTTGCATGCTCAGAGGCTAGTTGTGTGCTTGTGATCCAGTGCGGAAGTTATAATCTCCCAAAACTTTGGTTTTTAGGTGAAATTCAGTTTTTCAAGTTTATTATTTTTTTTCTTTTGGGTTTTGGACCATACTTGGTAATGCTCCCAGCAGTACTCGGCAGGCCACATTAAGGCAAGCACCTTAACCCCTCTATATCTTTTTTTTTTTTTTTTATTAGTGAAGCACCATGAGGTACAGTTGTAGATTTACAAATCTTTGTGCTTGGGTTTCGGTCATACAATGATCAAATACCCATCCCTCCACCAGTGCCCATTTCCCCCCACCCCCCCTCCCACCCTGCCTCTGTGGCAGGGCATTCCCCTTTGTTCTCTCTCTCCTTTTGGGTGTTGTGGTCTGCAAAAGAGGCATTGAGTGGCAATCATGTTCAGTCCATAGTCTACTTTCAACATGCATTTCCCCTCCTGGGAGGATCCTCCAAACACCCTTTATTTGGTGTTCCCTTCTCTATCTGAACTGCCCTTTCCCCTAGAATACCCGGCTGGCCTCTAAGCTATGGAGTAATCCTCCTGGTGTTGATCTCAGCTATTCTTAGGTATTGATCTCATATTTTGTTGCTTTATATCCCCCAGATGAATGCAATTTTTCTATGTCTATCCCTCTCTTTCTGACTCATTTCGCTTAGCATGATACTTTCCATATTGTACCACTTGTATGTAAATTTCATGACTTCATCTTTTCTAAGAGCTACATAGTACTCCATTGTGTAGATGTACCAAAGTTTCTTTAACCAGTCATCTGTTCTTGGGCACTCAGGTTTCTTCCAGTTTCTGGCTATTGTAAAGAGTGCTGCAATGAACAAACAACCCCTCTATGATATCTTAGGTCCTTCAGGGCTCTAGTAATGCTGGAGACCCCAATATCTTGGTTTTTGCTAATTGACAACTATTTCCACTTTATTTATTTTTTTGTTTTGGTGGGGGTTTTAGCTCACACCTGGCGATGATGCTCAGGGGTTTCTCCTGGATCTGCACCCATGAATTACTCCTGGTGGTGCTCAGGGGACCATATAGGATGCTTGGAATTGAACCCGTGTCGGGCGCGTGCGAGACAAATGCCCTACCTGCTGTACTATCTATCACTCCGGCCCTAATTTTCAAAGGAACTGAATTAGAACCTGAGTTCTGAGTCTTCTTTCTTGCTGAATTCTTTTATGCCAGAATCTACTGCTAAATTGGATGTAAAGTAGCAAATATTTGAAAGAAGCATGGGTACATATTGATCACTGTATCACTGTATCACTGTCATCCCCTTGGGTTGGTCATGGATTTCCTCGAGCAGGCACCAGTAACATCTCCATTCCTCCTAGCACTGAGATTTTAGTAAGTACATATTGATACTTGTGTTAAAAAAAAAAAAAACAGGGGCTGGAGCTATAGCACAGCAGGTAGGGCGTTTGCCTTGCATGCAGCCAACATGGCTGACGCAGGTTCGATTCCCAGCATCCCATATGGTCCCCGAGCACTGCCAGGAGTAATTCCTGAGTGCATGAGCCAGGAGTAACCTCTGAGCATCGTTGGGTGTGACCCAAAAAGCAAAAAAAAAAAAAAAAAAAAAACACCAACCCGAAAACAGAGTAGATGGGGCCTCAAGAAAGTAAGAGGTAAATCCCATCACCTCCTATATGATCCCCAAGCACCATCAGAAGTGATTTCTGAGTGCAGAGCCAGAAGTAACCCCTGAGTATTGCCAAAAGTACCCTGCCCCCCCTCCCTAAAATAGAGCAGGGCCAGGGAGAAGACTGAAAGGGCTTCGTGGTGGAGCCGCTGTATCTCATGGTCCCTCCTACTCAGCTTGGGGCAAACACACTCCACTACTGAGTGGGGACCCCTAAAATAAAAAAATTTAAAAAATAAATGGAAAACCAGCAGGACCGTACTACTGTTCAAGAAGGGAGACATCCATGACATTGGCAACTATCGCCCGATCTGCCTATTGTCTGTCATCTACAAGTTGTTCACTCAAGTCATCCTGAATAGGATTGGCAGAACACTAGATGAAGGACAACCATGTGAGCAAGCAGGGTTCCGCAAAGGATTCAGCACCATCGACCATATCCACACGATAACCAAACTCATTGAGGTTTCTCGGGAGTTCAAGATGCCGCTCTGCTTAACGTTCATTGATTTAAAGAAGGCCTTTGATTCTGTTGAGACGGAAGCGGTCATTGAAGCCCTAGCCAATCAGGGCATTCAAGCCCAATACATCAGGATCCTCCGTGAGCTGTATTGCGGATTCACTACCAGGATCTCACCATTCTACAAAGAAGTGATCGTTGATGTCAAGAGAGGGGTGCGGCAGGGTGATACCATTTCACCAAAACTCTTCAGTGCCACCCTCGAGAACATCATGCGACGACTGGAATGGGAAGGAATGGGAGTGAAGATAGATGGTTGGCAACTACACCACCTCCGCTTTGCTGATGACATTGTTTTAATAACACCGAACATCAGCCAAGCGGCACAAATGCTGGCCGACTTTGACCGTGAGTGTGGAAAGGTAGGACTACAGCTGAATCTTACAAAGACAATGTTTATGAGAAACAGCCTTGTTCCTGACGCCCCATTCGCTCTCAATGGAACGACCATCTCCAAATGCAACAGCTATGTGTACCTAGGTCGAGAGGTCAACATGACAAATGACCTGGCACCCGAGCTGCGCAGGAGGAAGAGAGCGGCTTGGAACGCCTTCAAGAACGTCGAAGAAATAGCTAAGAGGACGAAGAACCTCCGGCTCCGGGCACATCTCTTTGATTCCACTGTTCTTCCTGCATTAATATATGCCTCAGAGACCTGGGCCCTACGCAAACAAGATGAGAACGCCATTCAGGTCTCCCAAAGAAGAATAGAAAGAGCTATGCTTGGAATATCACGTTTCACTCAAATGAGAGAACGAATCCGGAGTTCTGACATCCGTCGACGATCAAGGATCAGGGACGCTGTCTCATTTGCCAAGGTGTCGAAAATCAGATGGGCTGGTCACGTAATGAGATTTAAAGACGACCGTTGGACTAGAGCTGTTACTGATTGGATTCCACGGGATGTCAAGAGACCGCGTGGCCGCCCACCTACCAGATGGTCAGACTTCTTTGTCAAGGTCATGAACGATCGGTTTGAGGCCCTCCATGTTCCCGGAGCGAAGAGATGCCATTGGGCTACACTAGCACGCGACAGGAACAAATGGAGACGTTACTGGCGCCCGCTCGAGCAAATCGACGACTAACGGGAAGTTAAGTGATTAAGTGAAAAAATAATAGAGGGGCTGGAGACATACTGCCTGCAGCTAACAGTATTGTTTCCAGGAGTGATCCTTGAGTACAGCTAGGTGTGGCCCCAAAACAAACAAGCAAACAAACAAAA